ACTTCTTCGTCTTCGTCTTCAGAAACAATCTTCGAACTAGAGGAAGACCCAGATGAACCATCTGAAGACACATTAATGGACTTGAAGAGCGATGTGTAATCAAATAACCAATCAGGGCCCACTCGAGCATCCGTCTCATTCTCCTCCAACCAACGCACGTCGAAGGATTCTACAATCTGTTTCGTCTTCTTATTGTTCTTGCAATGTCTTTTAATGTTCTATTTCTCCTCTCAGCAACACCATTTTGTTGAGGCGTGTGAGCAGAGCTGTATTGACGCACAATTCCCTTATCTGTGCAAAAATGATCAAGAACTGCATTCTTGAATTCTGTTCCATTATCAGTACGAAGCGCCTTCACCCGGTTGTTGGTTTGGTTCTCAATCATCACGATGAACTTTTTTATCAGATCAGCAACCCCAGCTTTGTTGGATAAGAAGAAGACCCACGTAAAACGAGAGAAATCATCGATCACAACCAGAAAGTACGAACTTTTGTTGATGCTTAGGACGTTGACCGGACCAAATAAGTCCATATGCAATAACTAGAGCACCTGAGTGACTGAGTTAACTTGTTTTGGTAGGTGTGGTTTTCTATGATGTTTTCCCTGGGCACATGACACACACTTCTCAAAAGTTATAAAGTCTCTGACAGGTAAGCCTCAGACCATCTCATTCTTTGCAAGACGATTTAGGTTTTTAGCGTTAGCATGACCGAGTCTTCGGTGTCACATCATTGCGTTCTGTTCTGAGTCCTTCGAAAAGAGGCAAGTGACTTGTTCAGGAATGTTGCTGTTCATATAAATAATATATGCATTTCCATCCCGCTTTGATTTGACAAGAATCCACTATTCTGGGATGACAATGCCTGGCTTGAGAATCATGCACTCTTTATCGGTGAAATGTGTAGAGTAACCTTTGTCACAAATCTGAGACACACTCAACAAACTGTGTTTTAACTCGGGAGCAAAGTTGACGTTCTCAAAACTCAGCACTCCGTTTGTTACGGTTCCTCTCTGAGTGATCTTGCCACCTTCTCCGCCCGCAAAGGAAACATACCCCCCATTAAAGGATTGAATGTCGCTCAGTTGGGAGATGTCTCCTGTCATATGTCGGGAGCAGCCGCTGTCGACGTACCAAGGTCTGACGACATTCCTCCGCAACTGTCCCTACAAAATGAGCGGGATCATTTAGATTTGGGAACCCAGGTCATCACTGTCCTGGGTTGGCTCTTCACTTTCTCTGATTGATCTTTCAAAATCTTCAATTCTGAATCATCATTTGTAATCTTTTCAGAGGATGTTGATGATTGATTGGAAGTTAATTTGGGCATATAATGATATTTAGGTTTCCTAACAGTCACAGGTGGTTTGAAATATGTTTCTTATCAGTTTGCATTGAGCATCGGGAAGTTCTACCAGAAGTGGTTGAAGATCCAGAACTGCTCTTTGACGAAACCGATCTTGGCGGAGCCTTGTTCGGTTTTGGCAAACTGTTTGGGACTTTGTTATGAAAAACCCTTTTATTCTTTTGAAAAACCGCCCTTTTTCTACTTCGATCATCCTTCCAGTCATCATCTTGAGAACGAGTTCTTGAGGACTTTCTAGTTGAAGACCTTCCTCTAGATTCGTTCTCTCCTCTTGGTGACATATAATGTACAAAAATCCTATTTTGACAATTTCGAGCTATATGACCACCACTACCACAATTAAAACAAATCTGTTTATTATTATTAAAACTGGTATTGCCTTTCTCAGATTTATTTTCTTTACTGACACCCTTACTTTTCCCACAAGAACATGTCTAAGAAATAGGTTGTGAGATAAGTAAGGGTGCATCAGATGGTGTGACTTGTGGAATTGGTGTGTTTTCATTAGAAGCATCACAAACATCAGGATTATCAAATAATTCATCAAACACTTCAAAAAAGTTTAATTCAGCAGGAGCAGATGCGGAAGTATCACAAAAAATATTGTCATTTTCAACATCAGAAACAAAAGGTTTTTCATTGGAAACAAAAACATGAGGTTCAGACTCAGTTTTGTTATGAGAAACAGATCCTTCAACTTCGTGCTTTGACTGATCTAAGGATTGATCTGCAGGGGAAGTAGAAAGGTTAGTACTTTCAACATTAATAAATCCTCCTGAAACAAAACCAGATGGCTTGCCATAAACCATGAATGGTTCGTTGGCAATCTCCTCTTTAGTCAAAGGGTGATACTGATATGTATGATTAAAAGGAGGAGGTGCATTATCGTATCCTAAACCCTTTTGCTGGTTTCGTTTGAACTGCAGGCAATGGTCAATCATGTTGGCAACTACCTCGCTTGATACATCAAACCTTTTAAAATCAAAATTTGCAGTTTCAAATTGCCCTTTTAATGTATCAAGCTCAATAGTTAACTCAGCATTCTGTCTCTTGATATAATCATAATTTTCACATTTGTTACTGTAGTCTTCCTGAAGTCTCCTAAAGTCCTTTATTTTTGTTTCTAACTGGGCCTTTAGGGGTTTTTGTCATTTTCTAAGTTGATAGCCCTCATATCTAAAATCCTCTACTTCTCTACGCAATGATTCTATTTCATCACGAAGAATTTTAACATAATCAATACATGCCTGAGAACAAGAAGGTAAACTTACCTCACTTTTCTTGGGTTCGGAAGTAGAAGATACCATCAGTGCAAACTGCAGCTCCATCATCTTTTCTTCAGGATCAGCTGCAACATTCTTCACGGGAGCATCATCATTGATTTGGACTAGGTGAGCATTTTCAGGTCTTGAAATATTCAGAGCCTGAATCTGGTCCTCCCATTCAAATGACTGAGCAACCATAACAGTCTCACCGTTGACCACATCAGCTCCACGATTGTTTCCCACCGCAACCATCATCCTGTCATTGTTCAACCTTCGATCCGGTTTCGGGCACTCACGAGCAAAATAACCTGGCTTGTGACAGTTGAAACATCGCAGCTTTCCCTTGTTGAACCCTACCTTTTTATCAGCATTCATCCCCCAGTTATTCTTCCCTGTTTTTTTTAGCAAACTGCTTCGCCCTGAATACTGCCATAGCAATTTGCCACGTAATATCCATCTCTTCCACATCTTCTGGATGAATCTGATCCAGATCAGCAAATGACAACTGAGGTGGAAGCTCTCCAGCTACAAAAACATTATAGCAGTTAACAAGTCTTGTGGCGAGAGCAAGATTGTCATCACTTTCCTTTGTGTTTGAGGAAGAGGCTACAACTGGCACATTGGAGGAGGGAACAGCTTGTGGAGTGACAAACGACTGGCTTTGAGAATGAGGCATGGATGACGCAGTAACAAAGGTTTGAATCTGAGGTTGTTGAACAGCAAATGCTTGACCTGAGGAAGAACTGATTGATGAAAGGGCATTGTTAGACGAAATTCCGAGATTTGCAGTCGAATACGAGTTCACATGGTTAATCTCTCACTGTTTATCATCAATATCACAAGCTTTGATGATCGTCATTGTTTCAGCAAGAGTGAGGCGATTCAGATCCTTGGTCTTCTTAATAACAGCTACATTCATGTCCCATGACTTTGGAAGAGCATTCAGTAGCTTTTTATTTATCTCGGACTTGGTCAAGAAGATCCCAGATATGTTCATCTCAGTAGTGAGGGTTGTGAATCGCAGCAGATGTGCCTCCAGGGTTTCTCCAGAAATGTAGTTAAACATGTTGAATTTATGTCGCAACATATCCTGGCGGCTTTCCTTCATGTCTTCATTTCCTTCATACACCTCAATCAAGGCTTCCCACAAAGCTTTAGCTGAAGTATACTCTCTGAAACCTTGAGCTATATCAGGAGATAAAGCCATGGTCAGAGTGGCCAAAGCCCTTTCCTGTTCTTCAAGTTTCTCAAAATCTTCATCTGTATAGTTCTCAACTAGTTTGTCAATCACTTGTCCTGCAACAGTGATGGTAATTCGGACAGGACCCTTGATGATGCTTCTCCAAATTTTGAAGTCTTTCATTTTAATATACTTCTCAATCCGGTATTTCCATTCAGGAAACCCATCTGCAGACAGCAGTCTTGGAATACGTGTGGTTGTGCCCATGACAGAATCCAGTTCATGATGATGTGTTTGACTTTGAGAATCCATTGATTATTAAATTTTAAATCAAAAACTAAAACAAGAAGAATGTCAAAAATGAGTTTCCGGTCAGATAGTTTACGGCCGTAAACTGAGTTTACGGTCGGATTTCCGGTCCAAGAGTTTACGGTCAATAAAGATGCACTGATTATGGTCTTTGAAGATGAGTTTTCGGTTATTGAAGATGCTCTGTTTACGGTCCAAGAACAAAGTTTACTGTCTTTGAAGATTCTTGAGTTTACGGCTGTAAACTGAGTTTACGGTCGTAATCACTTGGCAGTAAACTCCCAGAAATTTACGTAAACACGAATTTTTATCAGATTCGATCCCTTTTAGCAGTGAAAGTACCAAACCCAATCTCGAAAAATGATGAATATTAGTTTAAACGGTCCGAAAACTCGATTGAATGATGCTTTGACACCGGTTTTACTCTGATACCAATTGTAAGGTCCTGAAAACGGATCTTACTAGTGATCAAACAATCAAACAATCAAATAGAACAAGAATTGGAGTAGAAGTAGAATAGAAACAAGCTTGCACACGCTTTATAACTGAAAAACACCGGGTACAACTTGTTTACAGCGACCGTGAACTCTCTAGGATCAACAACCGATAATGACCTACACAACCTCTATTTATAGGAGACTTGGGCCGGAAACAGGGTTTACGGCCGTAAAGGGGTTTAAGGTCGTAAACACACTACAAAGCCGTAAACACCAAAATAACCTACTATTACATCATAAAGACTCAAAAGAACAATTAAAATAGAAAGCCTAGACCAAACCACTAACTGGACCCTTCACTTGGAAATTAAATTAGTCGACTTCCAGGTCAGCTGTCAGCATCTTCTCTCATTTTCACTCAACATCTCACATATCACATAACTGATGGGTGACTTCCTGCAGATAAACTTGTTTGTGCCATTCTATCCTTATTATTTTCCTATTCTGGAGAAGCTCAATGCTTCTTCTGCTTTAGCATTGTGCATTGCTCAGGATGAATCATTACTGAAAGCAATGGAGGTAGGTATTTACATTATCCTACTAAAAGTTAAAAATTTCGCACACTTGTCACCATTAATAATAATTGGTTTCAGGTTTATGTAGTGGTGGCACCATTTTTGGGACACGTGCCACCATCAATAATTGGTTCAGTTTTGAAACTAGTTGAAACCATTAACATGCTCCATCATGCTTCACACTTGGGCACCACGTCAGACTCAAATAAATCAAACAACTTTAGCAGTGTCTCTGTTGTTGCCAATTTGGAGTCTGGTAGCTTCATTGTTGACCTTGAAAATGGGTTAGAGGAAAGTTGCACATTAACTGTTTCTCTTCAGGACTTGGATATGAGATTGATTACTATGAAACACACACAATCTTTCTGGATATGTACACGGGCTTTTAAAGTAACGTCTCGTTTGTTGAAAAATAGTGATGACATGGACCTTATAAATGTTTCACCTAATGGGTTAAGCCAACTTAATAATGGGTGCCTCATGTTACATTATGATGGTGATCTGAGCATATGGTTGACAGATCTTGATCTTCATTGCTATCCACATATTATTGGATTGCTGATTGAATTTTTCGATAAGCTACCAGAATATAGCTCTTCACATTTACATGATGACAAAAATCAAGAATTTGTGGTAAGTAATAGTAACAATGTCCTCTCAGGTTCTTATTTTGGTTGTTCCAATTTTTATGACACCTGTTCTTCAGATTGGGAAAGCATTTCAGTTGATCATTACCCTTTTGTTACAATACACAATGACAGATCTCTTCTTAGCCTCGAGAGTTCACTTATTAACATCAATCCAGACTGGAAGAAGGTTCTCAACATAAGAGAGGGTAAGATAAATTGTTCAAAAAAGGAATTCCAGAAACTATCTGTATCTGATCCTCATCTGGTTGTAATCAATCTTGATCTCAGAAGCATTAGACTACACCTGCATGACTCTTCATCCATTGTTGCATATTTTACACTTCCTACTGCTAAATCTTCTATTTCTATCCATGAAAGCTGTCTGGATGTGTTGTGTTCAACTGAGGGATTGAGCCTTTCATCACAATGGTTTCCTCAGACTCTACAAGACTCTCTGTGGGGCCCTGCTTTACTCAATCTTTCTCTCGTTATCAACATTCGAGTGAGAAAAGGGAATCATGGAATGGAACTAGATTTTAGTATTCAGAATGTTTCATGCATATTGCCAACTGAATTTCTAGCTGTACTCATTGGTTACTTCTCAATGCCTGATTGGAACTCCAATGCAAAAGAGTCATCTGGTATCGATTGTTCCAAGGACACAGATAGCTTTCCTTTTCACTTACAATTACAAGTTTGAGATATTGGACTCCGTTTTGTTTACACCTGTGGTTAATGCTGATTACCAGTTTCTAAAGCTTAATATTCCACAGATGTACTTCACTTTTATTGAGAATAGTGATTCAGACATTCTATTAAAAGAAATCTCTTTGGAGTGTTCTGTTCCACCTGGATATATTGGAGATCAAAATTATTGTCTAAATGTATTTGGGAGGGATTTATCTCTACATCATATTCTTTGGAAAGACAATGCTTCTGAAGTGACAAGTATCAGCATAATTGCTCCTTGTAGTGGCGATATATGGATCACAATACCATATGGATCTGATTCTCCTTCTGCAACATGTATGATGTCAAAGGTTAATAAATGTCAGTTTATCGTCGAAGGTAGAATATCATCTTTTATGTCACTGTGTTATTTATTCTGTACATACTTGATATTTGATTAATGCAATGGTCTTTCTTTTTTTCAGGAAGTGAAATACTTGGCTGCTTTGATGCATTGCTAGATGTCATTGACCAGCTCACATCTGTTGAAAATCTATCCATGTGTTTCACTTCTGATGTTTCAGAGTTTCTTAATTCAAAAGACAGTTTTAAAGAAAATCATGTGCTTCAAGTTCCTATTGAATCTTTAAGTGTCAGCTTTACAGAAATCAGATGCTCTGTTGAATCCATGTCAGTAGAACTCTACTCTGACAAGATACAATCGAATGCTAACGAACATATCGCCAAAACTGACATGAAATTCACATGTTCAGTATCATTAAAAAACGAAAAGCCTCTTTCTCTTGATGTATCATTCACTTGTTAGGAATCGGACCGGGTACACGCAGCGGAAACACACTATCACACACACAAACACACGAAGGAAATAAAGCAAGAAAGAACACAAGGATTTTACGTGGTTCGGATTCGGTGTAAATCCTACGTCCACGGGCGCAACTAGATTTTATATTAACTCACTATAAGATTACAAATGGTAATATCACTCAGCACTTTTGTTGTTCTACGCTACACTACATCGCTCTTCTTACAAGTCATATATATATATATATATATATTATATATATATATAGGAGAGAGCCGTAAGCCTTTTTCTTTTGTTTACACAAATTGCCGCTATATTTGACTAGAATATATATATGCCGCAAAGTTTGAAAAAAAGAATGCGTTGATTTCTTTAGCCGTCCAAAATAGAGCTGCCGTCCACTTCAATATTATTAAACAATTGATAGTGCGTCCAATTCAATATTCAATTGTTTTAATTTACAAGTTTCATTTATGGCCCTTGAACTCTTAGGAACTTGTCAATTTATTCAAGACTCCATAAATCTTAACAATCTCCCACTTGGAGGCTTGAACAACTTTAGCTTTTCTCCGCCATTCAACTCTCAATTACTCCAGTAATCTTAAAAACAACCAAGTCCTTTTAGGCTTCCAGTTCCAAAGAACAAGCTAAAACTTAGTCTGATTTCTCTAGTTGCAGCTGCCCCTCATCATCAATTACTAGAAGGGCCAGTTGAAGCTCCCACTAGCTCCAACTCAGTCGTGGCTAATCCCACCACCGACTCATCCTCTGTCTCAACTAGTTTGGACACTCCACCGGATCCAGAGATACACCGAGGGCCACTAACACTCTCCAAACATAGCAAACATCCAACAGGAGAGAATTTTTCAGTCTTAGTCTTCAAAACCCAACGACTCTTTGTAACTGTACCCGAAACACGTCCCGTGCTCCCACTGTCACAGAATCCCCTGAATGGTTTAGACTTTCGAACTCGTTCAGCTAACATCTCTTTGGCTCCAGAATTTATGTTTGCAAAATGAACTCTCTTAGCCGTAGATTTAGCGAACCAGATTTTGTCTTGTTTAACAGGGACGGTCATACTTCCCTCAGCAGGTACCTCAACCATATACAATGACCCACGCTTCAAACCTTGAGCAATCACCGAATTACCATTGACCACCATCCATTTACCACCACCAAACCTTACTTCCAGTCCTTGTTTATCCAGCTGACCAACAGAAATCAATTTCTTTTTCAGCTCCGAAATCACCTTGACATTTTTCAGGTTCCATGTAGTTCCCAATGAAGTAACCAGATCAATATCTCCCATGCCCGTTACTTGAAGCATCTCGTCATTTGCTAACCGTACCTTTCCAAAATCTCCTTCTTTTAGATTCACCATCGTTTCCCCGTTGTCCATGGCGTGAAACGAAGCCCCTGAATCCATGACCCAAGAGTCTACAGAACTTTCCATACTGAGTATCAATGCATCATCCTCAGACACACTCTCAGCACCGGTAATGTTCAATTCTTTCTTTGGACATTGACTCTTAACATGTCCCACCTCCTGGCAGTTCCAGCACTTCACATTCTTCTTAGTTCTAGATGAACTTCTTCCCCGACTCCCACTGCTTCCACTATTCCTGCTATTCCCTCTACCTCTTCCGACATTTAATAAATCAGAAGAGGAAGATCCACCTTGATTCTTGCGTCTGATATCCTCGCCTAGAACCAAATCTCTAACCCCTTCAAAAGTCATACCACTGGTCCCCACGGAACTCGTAACAGCGGTAACTGTTCCGGACCAGCTATCAGGTAGAGAAGCTAGTAGCAGTGATGCTTGAGTCTCGTTATCAAATTTAATTCCCACAGATGATAATCTGGACAGAATTGAATTTAGATTGTTAATGTGAACCGTAACTGAGCCTTCCTCATTCATCCTTGTAGTGAACAACTCCTTCATCAAGAACACCTTGTTAGCCGCCGATGGTTTCTCATACATATTTGACAGAGCCTCCATCATACCACGTGTTGTGGCTTCATTCATGATGTTGAAAGCAACGCTCTTCGTCAATGACAATGTAATAACCGCCTTGGCTTTCTTGTCCTTTGAGTTCCACGCATCTTCAAAAGCTTTTTCCATTTTCTCCGGTTTGTCTCCGAGTACCATGTCCAAGTCTTTCTGACATAGCAATGCTTCTAATTGCATTTTCCACCAGCTAAAATCAGAACCATTGAACCTTTCGATTATAATCTTGTCTTCAGCCATTACGGCAAACAAAAAAAAAATTAGGTACACTCGTGTGTGATAAAAAAAACGATCGTACCCTCCAAAACCTCGCTAACCAGGCTCTGATACCAGTTGTTAGGAATCGGACCGGGTACACACAGCGGAAACACACTATCACACACACAAACACACGAAGGAAATAAAGCAAGAAGGAACACAAGGATTTTACGTGGTTCGGATTCGGTGTAAATCCTACGTCCACGGGCGCAACTAGATTTTATATTAACTCACTATAAGATTACAAATGGTAATATCACTCAGCACTTTTGTTGTTCTACGCTACGCTACATCGCTCTTCTTACAATTCATATATATATATATATATATATATATATATATATATATATATATATATATATATATATATATATATATATATATATATATATATATATATATATATATATATATAGGAGAGAGCCGTAAGTCTTTTTCTTTTGTTTACACAAATTGCCGCTATATTTGACTAGAATATATATATGCCGCAAAGTTTGAAAAAAGAATGCGTTGATTTCTTTAGCCGTCCAAAATAGAGCTGCCGTCCACTTCAATATTATTAAACAATTGATAGTGCGTCCAATTCAATATTCAATTGTTTTAATTTACAAGTTTCATTTATGGCCCTTGAACTCTTAGGAACTTGTCAATTTATTCAAGACTCCATAAATCTTAACAGTTTTCTATATATATTTATTTGCAAAGTAGGTGCACTGAGGCGAACATCAATGGCAAAAAAGTAAATTTGAAGTCCAATCTGGGCAAAGCAATGGGAACAGTTGAACTATTTCAGAACAAGAGTGTCCATTCTTGGCCCCTTTTTCAGTTATTGGAAATTGATATAGAAGCCGAAGTTGGTAAATGATGATATGGATCTCATGCATTTGAAGACAGAGGTTCACTGTGATAATCTAGATGTTTGGCTTTCACATCACACATTTTACTTGTGGCAAACAACGTCAGAAGATTCCGGATCTTCTCAGCTTTCAGTTGGCAGTGTAAATTTCAGATTTCACTTACGAAAGGTTTCCATTCTTTTGACAGATGAAAAGGTATGTAAAACTGTTTTCTCATTTTCAAAACTATAACTCATGTTTATTTAATCTGTTGTGATTTTGATTATCTAGTGGAGCTCCAATGGTCCTCTACTAGAGATTCTTATGGGAAGCTTGTTGTTTCATGGTATCATAACTGCAAATGTGATGGAAGGATGGGTTGATAGTGAGCTTCAAGTGAACTACAATAACATTCATAAGGTGAAGTAATTTTTCTAGCAAATTATGAATGAATTGATTTGATGATAACTTATTTTGGATTATACTCTCCAGGTATTATGGGAGCCTTTCCTTGAACCCTGGAAGTTCCAAGCAAGCTTAAGAAGAGAGCAAGGAAAAAGCGCCCTTCAAAACAGCCCAGTCATGACAGATGTTCATCTCGAGTGAACAATGAATCTCAATATCAATGTTACAGAATCCTTCATTGAGGTTGCTTTCAGAACATTTGATATGATTACGGATGCTTGGGATCTCATGAGTCTGAATGTTTTTCCTGAAAACTCAAGATTAACAGCAGCAGCTCACACCAATGAAAATACAAATACACTAGCCAGCAGATACGCCCCTTACACATTCGAAAACTTAACTTCACTCCCTCTAGTGTTTTACATTTCCAAAGCTGATGGTTTCAATATATTGAAAGATGGAAAATACGTGCAGCCTGGTTCTTCATATCCAGTGTACATTGATGATAATACAGATGAACAAACCTTTGGCTTTAAACCTAGCCATTCAACTGACAATCTAGGAGACAAAAAATACGCTGATGCACAACATCATTATATAGTTATTCAGCTTGAAGGAACTTCCACTTTGTCAACTCCTGTTTCTATCTATCTTGTTGGTGTTAGCTTCTTTGAGGTGGATTTTTCCAATTCAGTTGACAATAATTCCAGGGATATTTCTAAAGGTGTCAATAGTGTGTATGTTGTTCCTGTGGTGATTGATGTTTCAGTTCAACGATACACAAAGTTAGTCCGCTTGTACTCAACAGTAAGTCTACTGTTTACCCATGTTTAGTTCTACTTCTAATGGTTTCTATTTTCTCTAAAAAGATTCATAAAATGCCAGGTCATCCTCACAAATGCAACAACAATGCCATTTGAAGTCAGATTCGATATCCCATTTGGTGTATCTCCCAAGATTCTAGACCCTGTATATCCAGGACACGAGTTTCCTCTTCCTCTACATTTAGCAGAATCAGGTCGGATAAGATGGCGTCCATTAGGGAACACTTACCTATGGAGTGAAGCTTATAGCATTTCCAATATTCTTTCTAATGAAACTAAGATTGGACATTTGAGGTCATTTGTCTGCTACCCTTCTCTTCCAAGTAGTCATCCATTTCGTTGATGTGTGTCTGTGCATGATGTGTGTTTGCCTTTTGCTGGGACTGGGAGGGTAAACAAGGGATCAAATTTATATATATTCATGATGCTATTGCTGACAAGATAGAGAACCAGGATCAGTCAAATAAAAGGTGTATTCACTTGATTACATTAAGTAATCCTTTAATACTGAAAAACTATTTACCAGTTGAAGTATCTGTCATGATTGAGAGTGGTGGAGTTTCACGTAGCATGCTGCTTTCAGAGGTTGGTATCTATCTTCCACATTTTCTTTATGTCCATATAATTTCATCATGACTTATAGTTTTCTAACATCTGCAGGTTGAAACTTCT